GGTAGATGGGTGGATAATGGGATATAAAGAATGTATTTACCAGTTCAGATTAGGCAGGGAGGGAGGGAGCTTCGTAGGTGGGTGGATGGGTGGGGTGGCTAGGCACATAGATGGATGAATCAATAAAATTCAGTTTTACCCTGTTATAGTTGATTAAGTCTAAGTTTGTCTTGGTCATAAAACTGTGAAGTCAAAAGAAAATGCTTTGAAACGATGATGGTAACACATACACAAATGTGATTGATATAATTGATGTATGGTTTGCTGTAAGAGCTGTTAGAGCCCCCAATAAAATGATAAAAAAGAAAAAAAAACGGTAAATCTTTACAGGGAAGAGTTATTTGTCAGAGGCTTGGAATCAGACAGGCTTGGACTTGAATCCCAGCCTCACTGAGTACATTTGACTTGTGACCTTAAACTTCTCTGACATTCCATTTCTTCATCTATAAAGTAAAATGTTTGTATGTCCTCAGAGCCTGTGGGAGGGAATGGATGGTAAGAACATGCGAAGAAAGGGCACAGTGTTGTTGTTTGTTAGCTGCTGTTGAGTCAGCCCTGATTTTTGGCAACTCCACGCACAGAGGGATCAGTTCATTATAATCCATCATGTGGTCATTCATTCATTTTCAAAAGTAGATCTCAGTCTTTCTTCCTAGTCTGTCTCAGTCAAGAAGCTGTGCTGAAACCTATTCAGCATCCCTGCCTCAGACAAGCCCCCACTGGTGGCCAGGTGGTACATTGGCCTGGAGTAGATCATAGTAGAATAACCTATGCTACTTTTAGGAGCTCTGGTGGTGCCATGGTTAAAGCATTTGGCTGCTCATTGGAAGGTCAGCAGTTCGAGTCCACCAGCCACTCTGTGGGAGAAAGATGAAACAGTCTGCTTTCATAAAAAGTATAACCATCATAAGCCTTGAGAGACCGGCTCTACGCTGTTCTATAGAATTCACATGAATCAATGGATTTGACAGCAAACGATGTTTGACTGGCAAGCTGTTATTGTTCACTCTACCAACCATGAGTCCTAGGGCAATGTTTCACACTTCAGAGGCACACAGTGGAAGGAAGTCTTCAGTTTCTGTTCCATCTCATCACCAGCATGGTTTTTCTCCAACACCTTTTTCTCATCGGCTACACTTCTCTGCATATTGATGGGTTTCGATATGGGTCATTATAAGCCAAAAGGGTTTCATTGGATTATTATGAAAAATGTACTGTGGAGTTAAAAAATAACATTCACAAATGTCAATTGTGCGGCCAATTCTGAGCCCAAACTAACAGGCATCCTCGCTAAACAGAGATCTTTAGTGGTGCTGTAGGTCCAGGGCTGGGCTGCTAATGGAAAAGCCAGTGATTCCAACTGACCAGCTGTTCCACAGGACGAAGATGAGCTTAGCTGCTTCCATAAAGATGTACACGCTCAGAAACCGTATGGAGCAGTGCAACTCTGTCCTCCAGGGTCCCCGTGCGGCTGAATGGGCTCGATGGCAGTGGCTTTCCTTGGGGGTTTGTGTAGCTGGACCACTAAGAAATCATAAGGCCATACTTGTGCCTGTCAAGTGGGCCTGCCGGTAGTGATAGGTGACGGGTCTGAACAAATGCTGCTGGCTCTGCAGTCAAGTTGCGGAGTTTCCAGGATCGATGTAATCTATGCCAACGCACCCTAGCTTAGGAGAAGAAATCATAAAACCCGGGAGGCAAAATAAGTGAGATTTGCACATATCTTTCTTGGAAAGTCCCAAGTGTGCCCCTTGTGACCTCTTAGAGATGGTCTCCGCTTTTATTCTGTTAACCTGCCGAGCACGAAGCACTGTCTGTGAGACTCCTGCGAAGCAACACGGTCCGCTTACGTGAGTCCACTGTGACAGCTCTGTTGGTTTCTAAACCCAACCCGGGATTGCGCATTCCTTTTCTGAAGGCAAGAAGAGCCACATTCAAAATTGGAGGAAAGACAGGAAAATGTGTAGTGAGCGATCTCTCGAACTAAAAATCAAAATCAAGTATTTGGTATTAGGTTCTGTACTGGTATCACCATTTCTCCACTTTTTAATGGGTTCAGGTGATATGTCGTAGACATACTTAATGAACTTCTACAAATTGAGTGAATTCCATCAATCGTGGGGCCATGTGGGCGCTGCACAGACAGACCCCTGTATAGACAAGTAGTTGAATGGGAGGCGGGGATTCCATTTTACCTGGAACAGTTCTTCAGCCCAAAGTGATTTCCTATGAGCAAGAGCATAGACTTTGGCCTAATGGTTCATCTAATACATAATAACTAGGTGTATTTCTTTTTCCCCGTTAGCCTTACAAATGCTGTTAGCAGCAACTCTGCACAGATGAACAGATTTAGTTCATTTACTCTTCCTTCCTTCCCTAGAGACATAATCCTCAGCCAAACAACTGGCAATTGTGAACATGATTAAGCAGTGGTAGACAATCAAGGAATTTTGGTGATGCCGGAGTTAAAGCACCCAACGGCTAATTAAAATGCTCCTGGTTCAAACGCATGGGCCTCTCCACAGGAGAAAGATGTGGCAGTCTGTGTCCCTCAGGGGTGACAGCTTGGAGACCCCGCAGGGACGTTTGATTCCATCCTGTGAGGTGGAATCAACGGTACCGCAGTGCGTTTGTTTGTTTTGTCTTTAGATTTGACAGCCCCTCTGGTTGGGAACGGGCAGCGGTAGATACAGTGCTCAATGAACTTCCTTCTTTCCCCCACATTCACCTGCAAGACACAAATGTGCAGTGCATGCAAGAGGCCAGGGAGGATGACAATGGCTTTATAGAATATCTTCCTTCAGGCGCATTTGGTCATCACTCTCATTTTACAGATGACAAAAATACAGAACCTCTGTGCTTGTCTTTGAAAATGTATCCTTTACGCGTTAGAATCGTCTTTAATCCTAATTGCTCGGAGTAGTTATTCAACAGAGCTTTTGAATTGAGCCATATCAAAAGATTTTTTGTTAGATTCCATTGAAACAACTCTGACTCCTAGCATGTCCTATGGCAGAGGAGAGCTCCCCATGGGGTTTCTTGGACGTAAACTTTATGGAACAAGATCACTGGGTCTTTCTCCTCCAGAGATGCTGGGTGGGTTCAAACCACTCACCTTCTGTTTAGCTACTTAGCCCTTAATCTTTGAACCACCAAGGCTCCTTAAAGCGAACATATATTTAGTACTATGTATACGATATCCTGCTAGGCATTTAAGAATTACAGAGGCAAGCACCATTCTTTCTGGGCCCTCTCAGCAAAACCATGAGGCAGTTTTCCTAGACCAAGAAAGTGACACCAGTTGGGATGACATCAGAACCAATTTGGAAAAGCAGGCAGAGACCCTTTCCCTGGCTACAATGGTGAATTGGCCAAAGACTCCAGTGTATGGCACATTTCAAATTGTTTACTCTCTGCTGATAACCAAACTTCTACATGTCTCCAGAAATGTGACTGATTAAAAATGCCTCCCTTTTTCCATTACCAGTGTAATTAGCATATGTCATAATGCCTGGCGCTTGTCTGGGCGCTTATTCTTTACCATCTTTGTTTGTGTCCCTTGAATCATTTGAAGCCCGATAGTTGCATAAGCCAAACCCCTAACTCACTGCCGCTGGTCAATTCTGATTCATGGTGGCTCCGTAGACAGAGTGCAACTGCCCCTGAGTCCTCAACTATTTTTGAGGTTACTATTTTTGAGGTTACTGAGTCCTCAACTATTTTTGAGAGCAGGTAGCCTCAATCCATAGTTACTTATGCCTCCAGGGCTTCTTCTAATTGCAGGAAGGAAGGTAAAATAAGGATTCCTATCATTTCAGAAATGTAACTAAGCAGGAGATAGAGTTGAATTTGGAACCCAGGTTTGAACATTCTAAATGCAGGCTTCCCATAAACGGGAAACACACTGGGTCACTTCTGGCTCTGCGCCTGTGAAGTCACCAGTCTGACCTCATTTCTAAGCTTTTCTTTTGTCTTTTTTTATTATGTCTTCTTTGTCACACATATTTTTCGGATTGCTCCCAGTTTTCTGGGGGAAGAGCATCCCCGTTCGAGTACCATTTCTATGCTCCTGTCCCTGAAAACTGAGCTACCAGCTTGAAGATGCAGTCTAGGAGACCTCACTGCTTGAGTCTCAGAAACAGAAAAGGCTTAAAACTACATTCATTCTTTCTCCACCATGGACTCCTTCTGCCGTCATAGCGAATGGCAACACCTCATACTTAATGGTTGAGATTCTAGGCATGCACTTCAAGGCGGCTCCCCTCCCCTGCAAGCCACTCAAGCAGTATATCCTATCTACCTCATCATCTCTGTGCGTATTCCTAATGCCAGGGGTCACGCCCTTATCAATTCTGAGATGTTCCTCCGTTGAGTTTTCCCGTAAGTGCTGGTCTTCTCTCTTCTGCCTCCCATGTTTTTCTGTGATTTGAGTGTTTTGCATAAAACTGGGCTTTCAGATGAATGCTCCAATGAAAGAGAGATATAAGCATATTCAACCCCAGTGGTTAGCAGCACTGCCAGAGCAGAGCAATGGTTTCAGTACATGTTTGTTGAATGACTGGATGAGTGAATTATTTAAGACGTAGAGAGAAAGGGCAGAGGATTACACTAGAAGACACAGCAAATCAAACGAAGGTGCCCTCACCGGAAATTATTTTTCTTTCAAATGAACTTCATAGTTTATACTATGGGAGATCTCCAGGCAACTCGCCAGAACTTACGTCATGAACACTGCCACTCTTGGCTCCATCAAGCTGTAAAATGGCATGGTTTCCAAAGTGACTAGACGCTTAGCCAACTCTGGATCATCCTCAAATAGTTTTCTGCGGCGAAGATCATGGTGAGGGATCATAAAAGGAACTCCCAAACCAAGAGTTTATTTTAGGCTTTGCGTGGGTTCTGTTTAATGAGTTTTCCATAAATGGAAAACCGAGTGGATCACTCATGTCTGCATACCAGAGAGAGCCAGCTCTGTTGCACGGGGCTGCCCGCATTGCGTAATGCAAAAGGAGACTGGCTGCAGGAAGTGTGTTCTTTTAATCTTCAGGAAGAAGCAGGTACCAGTGGAGTGCTTTAGTCAAATCGCTTGTTAGCTGAGAAATCGCCATAAGGGTGGCTTTGTACAATTGTTAGTCTTAACACGGGCAAAGAAAGGTCACTGCCAGTCCATCTGGGTTTGAAGAAGGCCTTAGCTGCTCTCCTAACGTTATGCCCTTGGGTCTGAATGAAAAATAAGCACTGTGGGGTTTGCAATAATCCTGTTTTGAACAATCCCAGAGAGCTACAGTTTAACTGAAAACAGAAAAGGCTTTCACCAGAAAGTAGTATTATATACTTCATGCCCTGAGTTTGAGTTCTGCCATCATGGGCCAGGTTAATGGGCCTTTCTAATAGTTAAGGTGAGACTTAAAGATAATAATGCTAAAACATCTTAACTTAGGTATTATACAATGCATTATAAAGTTTTTCATTCACTGCCTGGCACAAAGAAGAGTTGAATCCATAAATATTAGGATAGAATAGAAAGAACAAAATTACTTCTTCATATTGCCTTAAAAAAATCTGCCTCCATCACTATACCAGTCTACTTCAAATAGCATTGACTTTCGAAATTTTAAACGTTAAGCACCAAAAGTTAGATAATTAATCAAATAAACCAGTTAAATGATTTAATCATAAAAATTATATATATTTATCTTAAATATTCTATTCACACTTACAACCTTTTAATTGAACAGTTTTTTATCTCTATTTTGAGATATGGCTAAAACCTTTCTTTAGAGGCTGTGTCTGCTAACCAGAGTTCCATGCTGTCTTTCTTGTAAGGGATCTTCAGAAAGTTTGGGGGAAATTCCATAATCTTTTCATTCCATTTTCCCATGTACTTTGTGAAGCCTCTTTGTATCACCCATTCATTTGGGAACTTAATGACCAGTCTGATGACAGAATGCTTTCTCCATTTCCTAAACAACTGTCTCCACTACTCCGATTTCCTGAGTGATCGCATTCTTTGTCACTCATCTCCCTCCGGTCTTCCCAAAGCTTGCCACTTACTTAGCTTAGAAAAAATTGGGTTTGAGTTCTAGGCTTCTTAGAAGAATCATTGTTTTACGTTCCCATTTGATTTGTTTTCGTTCACTGAATTATTTCATGATAATGACAAATTTGACTAGCATGAATAGACTTAGCAGCAGGCATACACCTGACTCTTGTTAAGCACACAAGCACAACTCCTCCGCTAAGACCAGAGGTGAGATGATATTTTGGAGACCTGATATAGTTCAGGGCTCACAGTGTGGGGGCATCACTTTATTTGACAGATATGTGTGAGTCTGCAAAGCCACGTAAGTGATGTTAGTAACAAGGTTTTTTCTGTAACTTGGGTTTCACAAGGAAAACAAGTAGAGAAAGAAGTAGGTAGCAGGGTGGTGTTGTTTGCTGCCATCGAGTTGGTGCCGACAAGTGACCGTGGGTACAGCAGAACAGAACACTCGTGGGCCTGCGTCATCCTCACAGTTGATAGGTTTGAGCCCGTCGCTGCAGCCGCTGTATCAATCCACCTCATCAAATGGCTTTCTCTCTTTCACTGTCCTACTTTACCCAGCATGACGTCCTTTCCCAGGGACTGGTCTCTCCTGAGAACGTACTGTCCAAAGTACTTGAGGCAAAGTCTTGCCATCCTCACTTCGAAGGAACATCCTGAGAGATCTGTTTGTCCTATTGGCCGTTCATGGTACTTTCAGTATTCTTCGCCAGCACCCTAATTCAAACACATCAATTCTTCTTTGGCCTTCCTTATTCAATAACCAACATTCACATCCATATAAGGTAAAGATGCCCCGGCTGAGGTCAGGTGCACCGTAGGTCTCAGTGACATCCTTGCTGTCCAATACTTCAAAGAGGTCTTGTGCCACCGATTTGCCGCAATGCAATATGCTGTTTGGTTTCTGGACTGCTGTTCCCATGAGTATTGATTGTAGATCCAAGCAAGATGAAATCCTTGACAGCTTCAATCTTTTCTCCATTTGTCATGATATTGCCTAATGGTCTAGGTAGTGAGTAAGAGCAAGACAATTGTCTCCAGTCAGATAATTAACAAATAACTAGTTTCAGTCCAACTACAGACTATAAAGGGTCCTTTAGGGGCCAATTAATTTAACCCACTTTTCTCCTCTACCTATTACTATCATCATCTTCGGCTAACTCTTGATAAGGAAGAATGAGAAAAGTAGAATGTACTGGGCTTTTGGCTGGATTTTAAATGGAAAATGCTTTAATACTGAAAGTCAATGTAGGGGTCAAAA